CAGTACGCTCGCTGTTCGTCGTCCATTTGATTCTCCCTCGAATGTGCTTACCCATGTCGACGTCACTGTCCAACTGCGCCACCACTTGGTCGTACACCTTGTCCATGGCGCGAGATGTAAACATAGTGGCGTATGCCATCCCAATCAGTGGAAACAGCGTAAGCTGTTGGTTTTCGTAGTCGAGCACTTGGCTCTACATCGCGAGATTCATGCATAGGTTGTATTGGGTGTAGTCCTCGGCTTACCTCAGCTTGTCCCTTCATGCGACTGCCTTGTGCCCGTGCGGCACTGAATCGCGTGGCTATCGTAACAGCGCCGGCAAGGAACCTACGACCGACGCCCATCCGACCCTCAGCGCCATTGAACGAGGGCGACGAAAACGTGGCGTGTCGTGGTGAAGGCGCCTTACCGATAGGTAACGTACACGACATAGACCCGCACCTTGACCATGGTAAAGTACACCAATTTGTCCATGGGAGGTTTGGAAAACGACCCGTCCGGCGCCACTTTGGCAAACCGCATGAGCATGTTTCGACGCGGGATGCGCACGTGGTCCAGCACGCAAAACCTGTTGGAAACACCATCCATTAGCACGCGTTGGCAGCACACTGAGAGACCAGCCTCGATCGACCACAATGAATCGACGTACCCGTTGTCGACCGACTGGAACCCAATCTTGGGACCGATGTCCCCCAACGTGATCCCAGGCAACGTCCTGTGCGTCGCGGTGTCTCGAAGTGGCACCAAAAACGCCTGGACGCCGCGGTCTTTGCCGTCCAGGAACAGCCGCGCATGGAGCACGCAGTGGTTGGCAGTCTTGCCGAGCCCGCCGGGCCACCACTTGCGACTGGTGAGCGTTGGCGAGTTCAAAATATACTCTTGCGTCTTGGGGTCGTAGTGGGCCGTGGTTTCGATGCCCTGGACGTTCGAGCCGTGGCCTACGGACAACAGCACGGGTTTGGACGGCTTGTTGCATGCCGACGTCGTACCGAGCTCGGTCTGGGCGTAGGCTCCCGTGATTTCGAATGCTTTGGCTTTCGGCAGCCAGTACGCTCGCTGTTCGTCGTCCATTTGATTCTCCAGCGTCGGGACAAACATCGCGCGATGCACGTCGATCGGAAGCGGTTCCCCGAGCATTTGGTAGACCAGAGTCTGTTCGTCGTGGTCAACAATATGATGGCGGCGGAGAAGTTGGATATACGCATGGGACTTTTCGAGCGCTTTGGTGTACCGCTCGGCGTGGTTTCGGTCGATCATGCTGCGATCGCTGAGCACGGGGTCCGACATGACCAAGTCAAGGAGTTCTTTGCGCCGCCTTTGGGCTGCAACAGACCCCAGCACAAGATCGAGGCATGCCTGTGGCTCAAACGTAGCCGTCGCGCGCTCCTTCTTCAGGAACAGCGGCGCCAGGTCGGCCAGCGATACACCTTGACGCGCCATGTTCATGCAGGACGTGATGTCGGACTGGGATTTGCAGCAATCGGTGGTGTGGTCAATCCTGCCTGACGGTCGGAATGAATGGCGTTAAAGGGTGGCAATTCTCGAATGCACCAATCAAATCGATTCGACGTGGGGTTTAATTTGATTAGCGTGTTCACACTCGAGGGACACTTGGGCATGGTGGCACCAGCTCCCCAGCACCAGGGAGCGACCGGTGGATCGGAAAATTTCACGGCGATACGTCGAAGCGGGTCCTTGCCTAAGGTTGTGCACCGAGTCGGGTGCAGAGCCCGAAGGTGCCCTGGATGGAGTGCTCCTCTGCACGGCCGGGTCGTCGCCGAACGATATCCACCCACATCGATCGCAACTTCAAGTGACGCCCAGCGCACGTTTCGTGTTCCTACGGATTTTTGCCGGCAAGTGGATAAAGCAGACCAGAGCGAGCGACCACAGCCACGAACTGGAGCACTCGTCCAGCTCATATCGGCTTCGATTTCTTGACGGGGACAAGCTGCCTGCGCCGTGCTTTTTGGATACGCGGGCTGGTGGAAACGTATGCATCACTTCACGACGTCAACTTGGGCACATACCACCCACCCCACCTCCACAAGGGGCCAAGTGCTTTGCCAGTGAAGCAGCTTCACCGTGGGAATGGCATGGCGTGCATAAGTGCTGTCGTCCTTGGGGGTCAACCTAGACAATGGGTCCGAGTTTGCGGCATGTCGACGGACGTGATTCCTATAAGTGTGAGCAAAGCGCGAACGCACACGTGTCCGAAACAGCACGCGCAAAATCTACTACATTCTTGCTTGGCCTTAACACCCAAACGACGTCGAGGGGAGGTCGCTGTCGACGCTACCCATTTGCATGCACAAGAACGCGCGGAGGATTCGCACACGAGCATTCGTCGCCGCCACGATGCCACCACGAAAGCGCATGGGTTCGCAGGGTGGGCGTGTGAGAGCATGCACACGTCGACGAATCGTTGGAGATGGAATTTCTCGCTACGTGTGGAAGCCGGGCCAAGTGCTCGAGAGCACGCTACCAATCTGCCGCGGTCTTGTTACGGCCGAGTTCACACACATCCGCAGCGTTCCTTGCAGTCACTGCATGGGGTTGGCCGAGGGCGGAGGAACGATCGTGGACTGCCACGTCTCCCGCGCCGAATCCCACATCACCTCGGTCGTGGGCCAGAACAGGTACTCTGTCTTGAGCGTTCGCATTTCTTCCTTTCCCGTCGCGAGCGCCACGAGCTTCAATCGGACGGACTCGCCGTGCTGAACGTTCTGAACCACACGAAGGAACGCGTCGAGGTCGGGGGTGTCTTGGTCATTGACTTGGAGGACAAACCGGCGCGGCTCCATGGCGTATTTGTCGCCCGGACTGCCTTCCATCCACAGCGAAATGTACACTTTGGACGGGACGAACCCGCGCTGGTAAATGACGAAATGCGGCGGTTGCAAGATCAACCCACACCATACAACGATGCGGGTCGTGCCCAGCGCGTCGATGTCGGTCGTCTCGACATCGACCACAACTTCGTGGCCATTTCGAAGCACGCGCATTTGAAGCACGATCGGCTCCTGGGTGGTCACGGACCCGTCCGGCGCTTGGCTGGTGGCCGCGCCAGACGAAAGCTCAAAGTGGGTGGTGGTCGATCGCCGAAGACGGCTGGACGCCGCCTCTACCATGAGTCGGTCGATGTCAAAGTCTTTGACGACAACCTCGTCGTTCACGGACAGCAGGATGTCGCCACTTTGAAGCACCGTCGACGCTTGCGAGTGCGCTGCACATCGAAGCACGGTGAGCACTTGTCTTGTGTCTGGGTACTTGGACGCCAATCGATTTGTCCATGCTGACGTAAGGCCAAGCCCGGCTCTAGCTTTGTTGAGACCGATAGTCGACCATTCGACGGGGACCACCGAAACGGACGGCGGAGGAGTGCCGCCAGATTGGATGGTCGTCAGGAGATCGCGCATGACGTCAAGGGGAACGGCACGGCTGACCGACTGCGGCACGATGTTGCCAGTGTCGGCGTCGGTCGCATCGTCCAAACTGAATTCCAAGTACAACGCGACAACGACGCCATGGCGGACAAACACCCCGCCGAGTGCCGACGCGTGGACCGCATCGACCGTCCACACTTCGACCGGTCCCGATTTGAACCGCGGGACGTCGAGATCCGAAATGACGAGGCGGTCGATCTTGACCACGATGGTGGAAGCTGTGATGACCGTTCCCATGTTTGTCAGGCCCACAAACGACAGCTCCGAGCCACAGGTTATGCCGCAGGTGCCTTGGCATTGCCCGACGCCGTCTAGAGATCATGTAGCAAGCGTCAGCGCCTCTTCCATCACAGCGGGCACCATGTACGGAACCTGTGGTAGTCTGGGAGATGGTCAGTGGCAGCGACTTCAACACTGGTGTCGCGGGGGTGTGGCCGACTCGAGTCGGGTCGAATTGCACAAGGGCAAAATTGTGAACAGGGTGCAAATATCGGATCGTAGCAGGCACGGCAATAGATCCCGCGACACAGACCGTGACGTGGGCCATGAAGACCTGGACCGCCGACTTGTCGACCAGCACGTACCCACGGTCTGCGTCAACGACGTACCCAATCGCTTCAAAGCTTGTCCCGCCGAGGCCATCGACTTCCAAAGGCGCTTCCGATCGCACATACACCAACGAGTGGAGGACAGCGACCGCCCATGGCTTGTCTGTTTGGAGTGGCGTGGGAGGAACTGCCCCGTCAAGGCTGCAGGGACGCAACGCGCCGGGCGGTGGAAACATGCGCTGAGGAGCCCACGCGTGCCCCTCGAGCGTCCACAGCGTGATCGGAAACCACTCCCAATCGATTGTAATCACGGTCGGGTACTGAACATGGCGCGTGTGGAGCAAGGTGTACGTGAGATCGACGGCGTCGCCATGCCGGAGGGTCGAAAAGACGGCGACAAATGCCGCCAGCGTCGGCGTCGGTGTCCCATGTAGAGACAAGATCAAGCATGGCGAAAACATGTTGGCATGGCGCAACATGTGGCCGAGATGCGTCGCGTACACACCGCCGACCGGCCTCGCATAGTTGCGGGCTTGTTGGTACGACAGTGGATGCAGAATACTGTCGCCGACCTCGAGAAACTGCGTCGGCATGATCTCGTTTAGGTCCTACCGAGTCAAATCGCGTCATCCTGGGGAATCGTATCGTTTGAGGCAAGGTCATCCAAGTTGAGCAAGTCGACCGAGCCAGGCGACAGTCCGACAGGACAGTGCCAGCGCAAGTTTAACAACACGTACGGGCTGGTTCAAATCCAACCACCCTTTGTAGACCGCAGCTGCCCCCTGCGGCGAACGATTCCAAAACAAAGAGATTCCATGACGCACCAAATCGTGATGCCACCAGACAAAGCATACAGAATTCGCACGACACACGTTGCAGGGTGGGTGGAGTTCACCCTGGCACACGAACCAAAGTTGCATGGCAAGGCGGGGATAATTACCTGGACAACCAGCGTCAGGGAGACTCTGGCGGTGCCTCGTTGCACCACGATATCGACGGGGGCATGCACGTTGTCGTCGAGGATGGATTCCAGCGACAGGAACGTCGTGCAATGCTGGCCCATCGACTTCCAAAGGCGCTTCCGATCGCACATACACCAACGAGTGGAGGACAGCGACCGCCCATGGCTTGTCTGTTTGGAGTGGCGTGGGAGG